GTTGCACTCCATGACATCAGGGGTCCTTTCCAGTTTTGAGGTTCTGTGGAAGGGCTAGCTATGGCTAGATAGGTCCAGATTCAGGATAAAGGCATTTTCCAACCTAAAGAAAAAAGGGAGTTTGTTCTGATCATGGGTGAACATCCCAAGGTGGGAAGACAATGGGTTGTTTGGGGTGAAAGTCTTTTTGGAAAAACAGCTAGCTGAGTGAAGAGGAGCCTATGCCAGAAAAAAAAATGAAATTTGTCCTAGGCTTCCTAAGAATTTTAAAATAAAGGACAGTTTTCTGGTTTTCAATACTAGGTGGGGAGTCAGGAATCCAGGTTCTAATCCCACCCAGTCAATTGTTCTGTGTCAGAGAAAAGGCACTGAATCTGAAGTCAAAAGACTTGGGTTCAATCCAGTCTGCTATTTGCTATCTATGTGACCTTTTCTAGGCTCCCATTTCCTAATGTGGGAAATTAGATTACACTATCTCTAAGGGGCCTTCCATCTCTATACCTTATGAACTTTCCAGGCTAGACCTCAGTTTTTGTTTAAAAAAATGGGTACAGCACTCAGGGAATGGTCTGAGGGTCAGATGAGATCATGGGCAAGGAATCAGCCTTGGAGGTCCTCTGTTCTATCTTTCTGTCCCTGGAATAGATTGAAAGTAACTGCCCTCAGTCAACTATCGCATCTCCTTATCCATCAGTCAGCAAGTCAATAAGTACTCACCAACCTTGTGTCTAGCCCAGGGCTGGAATGTGCTGTGAACTAAATGCTAGGATGGAAGACCTGGAGCTACACCTTGTAGGAATTAAAATTCTGTCTGGGAAAACCCAGCTAAAACTTGAAATTGGGCCTGCTTGCATTTTGTAATGATGGCAACTATTTCTTCTCCTTTTCCGTACACTTTGAAAAGTATATATTGCAATTAACCAACACTGGCCATTTCAATCTCATGGAGTAGAAACCAAAAGGTTCCTAATGTCAGAGCATTTAAAGCTGGAAATCAAGTCTTACCCCCCTCATTCTACAGATAAGGAAAACAGAGTCAGGATTTGAAAATGGGTTATCTGATTCCAAAACCAGTGCTCATCTATAGATTTATTTTTTTAATTCAGTTTTTGTTGTAGAAGTACTTCCTTTACCAATGCAGATGGCTGGCCACCTTCTCTGGAGTTTAGGGTATAAAAGTTACCTGGGGCAGCAAGAGGTTACGTGACTTGCAAGGAGTGGTTACAGCCACAGGATGTGGAGATCTTGAACTCAGATCTTCTTGAACGTTAGACCAGTTCTCTACTGCCACGTGCTGCCTCTTTCATATATGTTGATTAGGTGTATGGAGAGGCCTCATGGCTTTGTGCTCTGATTCTTCCTACAAAAGGTGTTCAGGGAGAAAAAAGTGAGTTCTCTAACAGAACCTGCTCTGTGTTGGCCACTATCAAGGATAGAGTTTGGGGAGGAGTAGACTGTGGGCCCAGTGTGATTGTTGATCATAGGTGTCTTATCATTTTAGAGTTCCATCTTTAGAGCTCATATTGTCTTTACTTGGTGAGAGGTCATCTAATTTAACCCCATCATTTTACAGAGAAGAAAAATGAGGCTCAGAGAAGAAGGGAAGCAATTTTGTCCAGGTTCACACAGGGATTTAATGATAGGGCTGGTATTATTAGCACCAGCCTGCTTGGGTAATGGTTGGTCCTTCCTTCCTTCCTTCCTTCCTTCCTTCCTTCCTTCCTTCCTTCCCTTCCTTCCTTCCTTCCTTCCCTCCTTCCTCCTCCCTCCCTCCTTTCTTTCCTTCCTCTCTCCCTCCCTCCTTCCCTTTCTTCCTTCCCTCCCTTCCCTCCTTCCTCCCCCCCTTTATTACTTTGCTACTCTTTATGTCACCTTGGCCACACTTCTTCTCCTTCCCGGGCTTCAGGTTTCTTCTCAGTAAAATAAGAGAGGTGAACAAGGTGATCTCTAAGGTCTCTTCTAATCTTAAATCCTTTGATTCTCTGACTTCTGATAGACCTAGGGACTGTGCCATCTCAGGGTAAGGTCTAAGAAGTGGGGACTTGCTGGGTGTGAATGACAAATGGTTTATTCACTGGCAGTGACATTTGGAGACAGACATACTTATCTTCCTCCTCTGGGTGACCTTTCTATTCTCCAGGTGCATTGCCCTAGCCAGTTGCCCCTGATCCCACCCTCTTGCCCCAGTGGGTTTCCTTGTGGAGGAGTCTGGAGATCTTAGGGGGCAAGGGCGCAAATGAATTTCTAGGAATCGATGAAGCCAATAGGGCCTTATTTATCATTGTCTCTCTGTAAACACTTGGGGACCTGTGCTCAGGGAGATCATCACAGAGCTAAGGAGCTGGTTGTAGATGGGGGTTGACAGGCTACTTTGACCAATGGGCCCTCTGAGAGAAGACTCGAGCTGTCTGTCTAGTTCAGGAAAGGCATGAGACTCACTAAGTTCAGCCATGATGTAATGGGAAGAGCACCCATTTGGGAGTAGGAGGACCTGTGTTCGATTCTTAGTTCTTTTGCTTTGTACCTGCATGATCCTAGGCAAGTCCTTTCCCCTTTCTGAGCCTCAGTTTCCTCATCTGTAAAAGGAGGGGTGGAGGATAGGCTTGAAACTAAGGTCTCTCTTCTAGCTCTAAATCTACAATCCCATGATCCTTTCTGAGCTTCAGTTTCCTCATCTATAAAATAAGGATGGTTATAACTGACACTATTCACCTCCTCAGGATGTTGTAAGGAAATTGCTATGTAAATGTGCTATTATTACAATAATCATTGTGGGAGGTAGTGAGGGTTTGAGTAGGGTGGCAGCAGTGAAGAAGAAGGGACAGATGTGAAACACTTGTTAAAAAAAAAAAAAACTCTAGTCCATTCTGGGCTGTGTCAGCCCTTCTGTCTCCTGCCATTATGGGCTGGTGGTCTGGGATGGGCCAAACCAGACAGGCTAAAATAAGGATATAGTGGTAGTTTACATCCCCAGACCATGTCACAAAGTTGGTTCAGAAACTCCTGTGGGTTCTCCTAGATTCTCAGGGAGAGCCATATCCTCTGGACTCTGGGGGCCCCTGGACCAACCAAAACTAGAGGAGATTCCCTAGTGCTCCTATGGGTCCTGGGTTGGTCTGGCACAGGGAAGGTCACATATGTCTTACAGAGCAGGTGCATGTTATGAGAGAGAGGGTCTGGAGTTTCTCAAGAATGTGGACTTTCTAAGGTTTTAGAGCTGGGAGTGGTAAGAACTCACAAATGTAGTCTCTGACTTAATCAAATCAACAAGCGCTTATCTAACACTCCTTGTGGGCCAGGCCCTGCCCTCAGGAAGCTCACAGTCCAGTGGGAGAGACAACATGCAAACTGCCATGTACAGACAAGCTATAAACAGGAAGATTTATGACCTCTCAAAGTTCCTTCCAGGTATGGAAGTGTGGGTGCAAGGCACAGACTGGAACTTTCTCTTCATGCCCTTCTCTCAGAAACACGCACAGAGGGTGATGGAACCTATAGATATAAGAGATAGAAAGCAGGTCCTAGCCTGGAACCCTACATGGGCCAAGTAAATATAGTGGAAAGGGCACTAGGCTGAAGGACAACTTGGATTCAGTTCCTGAATCTGCCACTAAAATTCACTGTGTTTCTTGCCACTTTTCCTCACAAGCTCTGATTCCTCATCTTTAATATGGAAAGTGTTAGACTAGATGATCTCTAATATCCTATGTTCTTAAGATTTCTTCAGCTACAAAGGTTCTGTGTGATGGTTCTATGATTCTGTCTTGTTGGCACACCCCTCCTGGGAGAGATGGGCAGGAGCCCAGCCTGCTGAGGCCTTTAGAATCTCAGAATGTCCGAACTGGGTATTAGAGACCATCACTAGGTTATGAGCCCTTCATTTTAGTCAGCTCAACAAGTATTTTATTAAGAACTTCCTGTTTGCCAGGCACTATGCTAAGCACCTGGGGCTTCAAAGAAAGGCAAAGGAATCCCTGCTCTTAAGGAATTCCTATTCTAATGGGGGAGATGACATGTAAATAACTAGGTATAGACAAGTTATAGAGAGATTAGATGGAAAGGAACCTTAAATGGAAATTCCCAGTAAAGATAATGTGAAGGTCTTAGAGGAAGAACCCTGCCTGATTGATTGAATGGCACCATTCCTCACCCACTCCCAGGTGTGTTTGTGTTTGTCTACATGTGCATGAAATGACGTGTTCTACCCACCCACACCAAGGGCCACACCCAATTCCTGCCCCAGCAGCCTCTCCTACAGTCTTGAAAAATGATGTAGTGGCACACAAACTGATTTTAAATCAGAAGACTTGGGTTTAAATCCCAGCTCAAATCCCAGATAGCTCGGTGACCTTGGGCAGTTCCCCTAACCTCTCTGAGCTACTACAAAATTAAGAAATTAAGGGTTTAGACTAGAGGGGTAGGGAACCTGCAGCCTTGAGGCCACATGTGGCCTTCTTGGTCCTTGGGTGCAGCCTTTTAACTGAGTCCAAGTTTTACAGAACAAATTCTTTTATTACGAGGTTTTGTTTTGTGAAGTTTGGATTCAGTCAAAGGACTGCACTTGAGGACTGAGAGGGCCACATGTGGCCTCAAGACCACAGGTTTCCCACCCCTGGACTAGATCAAGTGGTTCCCATCCTGTGAGCAGCAGACCAATGATGGGGGTTGAGGGAGGGGGCAGAGTGCAAGGGAGATGTGGAGGAGGGAGTTATTGTAGGATGTCCAAGCCCTGTAATATATTTTCTCGGTCACCTGATCCATACAGCTATTGTAATGGATGTTTTTGAATTTTTTTTTTAATGTTAAAAAGTCTGCATCTTTGAAAAGATTGGGAAACAGTGGATGATCTTTAAGGTCCCTTCCAGCCCCCAATCCAGTGAAGTATGGATAGGCTTTCCAAACAAGAATCAATCCTTGCTACCTGTGTCATTGGCTAACTGCGTCATTAGGTGAATTCATCGAGAGTCCATTCCAGACCTCCCATCTTTCTGACTCGAGTGTTCTTTCCATCAGAAATGGAAGCAGCTTTTCTCACAGAAAGCTGCAGTAAAGTGGGAGTGAGGAGGTGAGGGTGTAGACATTTGGGGAGAAGAGGCTAGGATGTCCCTGGATGGGATTAATTAATAGTCTTTCCCTTCCCCTGTCCGTGCCCATCCAGATCCCATCTGATGCCGAGGCTGAAGGAATCGAGGTCCCACGAGTCCTTGCTCAGTCCGAGTAGCGCAGTGGAGGCGCTGGATCTCAGCATGGAGGAGGAAGTTGTGATCAAGCCTGTTCATAGCAGCATCCTGGGCCAGGACTACTGCTTTGAGGTAAGATCCTGGAATGGAGGAATTGCTCCAGGTCAGGAGGGAAGAGTGGAATCCCCTGGGTGCTATCTTCTTTCTTGTCTGGCCTACCAGTGGCCTCTCTTACACTTCCTCCTCCTCTAATAACAGCTTACATTTTTCAGTGCTGACTATGTGCCAGGCACTGTGCTTTATAATTTGATCTCATTTGATCCTCCATACATTATGGAGGTAGGTTCTATTATTATCCTCATTTTACAGTTGAAGAGACTGAGGCACAGGGCTTAAATGACTTACCCAGGGTCACACAGCTAGTACTTGCCTGTGGCCGGACTTAAAATCAGGTCTTCCTGTCTCCCAGCTGGCACTCTATCCATTGTGCCACCTAGCTGCCCCCCCAAACCTGCAAGTCCCCTATTGCCTACTGAATAAAAGTCAGGCTCCTTAGCCTGGCATTCGAGGTTTCCCTCCCCCCTCCCCCACCCCCATGCCAATAATCCATCTTCACTCTGTCTTCCTAAATTTATCTCATACTCAATAAAGGCATGTAGAGGTAGCTGCATAGTCATGAAAGAAGACTGGATTTAGAGTTAGCAGACCTGAGATTAAAATCCTGGCTTTGCCACTCACTCTTTTGTGTAAGTTCTGGTAAATTATTTCCCTTCTCTGGGCCTCACTTTCTTTGTCTGTAAAATAAAGAGGTTGGACAAGATGGTTTCTAAGTCTAATGTCCTGTGAGCCTTGATTTTCTGTGCTCCAACCAAACTGTATCACTCACTCTCCTATTATGTATCCCAACTTGTCTGAATCATGCTTTTGCTCATGTCGTTCCTGGCACATGAAATCTCCCCTCCCCCATACTTGGTGAAATCTTACCCAGCTCAGATGATGCCTCTTCTAAGAAATCATCCATGATACCCCCTCCCACCAAATCAATAACAACCCTTTCCTTTTCCTATCTCAGACATCATTGTGTACCTCCCTTTGGCAGTTAGGATACTCTGTTTCATATCATAGTAATTAAAACATGTGTCATGCCCCATAGCATGGCCCTGTCAAAATTTAGCATCTTCTCTAGCACCCAGCACAGTGCTTTGTGTCCGTCAGTGCATGTACTTTGTACATGATGGCATCTATGCTGGCCCTCCTGTGCATGCATATTCTACCCCCTGCGTGCCTTCTCTTCCTGTGAGATTCTTGTCTGTGCATCTGGCATATAATAAGAGTTGGTGGAAAGGAAGGAAGAGAGAAAAAAAAAAGAAAATAATTAATTTATGGTTAGTGGCAGAGCATCAAGGGAAAACAGAAAGCAGGGGCGTCTCTTCTCTCACTCCCATCACTTAAGAATAGTTGATGCCATTGGAACAGCAGAAAATAATCCAAAAGAAACTGCTTCCAGCTGAAGTGGAAGAGGCAGAATCTAACTTCTTTCTATCCTGCCTGACCTGGAGTGGGACAGGAGGGCTGCCTCTCATTTGGCCAAGATGTCAGATCCCTCAGGGAGGCTCAGGACCAGAAGCTTCCTTTTCCCGATAGAGCTCCTCGTGGCTTGGGATGGGACAGGGAACCAGAGAGAAGGAGAGGAGCCCTTATTGAGCCCTTAGGAGAATTCTGCTGTCTTCAACTGTGTCAGTGCTGATGAGCCATTTATTCTGTCTTTGAACTTCAGTTTTCTTCATCTGTAAAATAGGCATTTTAATTCTTAGCCTGCTCCATAGGGATGTTTTAAGGACCAAATGAGATAACATATATAAGTGCTTTTGTAGAATGGTGTATTAAGGCTGGGCTCTAAGGGAGGCAATGTGGGAAAAGAGAATGGAAGCTAGACATAGAATCAGGAGACCTAGGTTTAAATCCTAACTTATTCTCTTAGTATGTATTTTATCTTGTGTAAGTAACAAGTAAATCAGGGATAATTATGAGAGGCAGCACAGAGGAGTCAAACACACTGCTCACTGAACTAGGTTAAAATGCAATATTAAACAAAATAAATAAAAATACAGTAGAACATTTGTTATTGTTCATCACCCAACTCTTCATGATCCCATTTGGGGTTTTCTTGGCAAAGATACTAGAGTGATTTGCTATTTCCTTCTCCAGACCACTTCACAGATGAGTAAACTGAGACAAACAGGGTAAATGACTTGCCCAGCATCACACACCTACTAAGCTGGATTGGAAGTCGGGTGTTCTTGACTCCAGGCCCAGCATTTGATCCACTGTGCCACCCAGCTGTCCTCAATAATGTAGATATGTAGTTTTCTAAGTCTACAGGGATCCTGATACATAGTTTAGTGGCCCCATTTTTATTTGAGTTTGGCATCACTAGTATAGCCCATAGAGATCTGGTTTTGAAGTTAGGAAGACCAGGGTTCACATTTTATCTCTGACACATTAACTCTGTGACCCTGGACAAGTCATTTAACTTCTCATTGCTATAGCACGCTCTCCAAGACTGTAACCTGTAGAATGGTTGCTGATCAGCATTGATAGAAGGGCTTGCCTACACCATTGAAACTGCAGATTTAGACCAACAATAATAACTACTACTGTAGTTATTACTACTGTATAAACTTATACTCCTGTATAAATGAGTGACATTTACATAACATGTTAAGGTTAACAAAGCAGTTATCATTTAAGTGTCTTGCTTAACTTCTAAGAGGTTCAGTTTTCCCATGATAAATGGGGATGACAGTACAGGAACAGTACAGTAATGGGAAGGGAGAAAAATGCTTTGTAAACTAAAAAGCACTATAGAAAAGTGAGCTACTGTCATCTTCCTCATTATTCCAATCAACTGGGGGCTAAGGGAAGAAAAAAAAGGGGGGGAAAGAAATTTTACATGATAACTTTATTATGTATTTAAAAGGAGTAGCAAATTGTACATAGTAGAGTTGCAGTTTCATGTGCAATCATCTTTTTTATTATACTATGTTATGGAAATTCTTATTTTATTCCATGAATTAAAAAAAATTTAAAAAAAAAAGGAATGACTCTAGAACCTTGAGAATAAATAAAATAAAATAAATCTCTTTCTCTCCTGAAATCCTCTCTGAGCTGGGCTGGCCCCAGTCTGATGAGCTCTGCTCAACAGGAGGCTTGATGAATCAGTCTCAGAGTGGGTCTACGTTCAGGAAGACAGTAGTGACTTCAAAGGCTCCTCGTCTCAGGCACTGAGGATGGACCAGTGCCAGTGACTTGGCTTCTCCTTCTTTCTCCTCCATTAGTTCCTTTAGCCCCCACTATGAGATCATTTCTCGAAAGATGAACCCCCTTGATAATTATGCTTAATTAGTGGAACCATCCATCTGAGGGATGGATATATTCATGTAAATAAGTTGCATCATGGAAGTTAATGAGTCCTGCATTTTCCTTTCTGGTCCCTGCAAACTCATGACTTGGTGCTTGGCCCCCAAAACACGACTGCCCCTCTGCCAGTCAGGTGCCTATTGATGGTGCTGGTGGAGGAGGAAGAAGAGAGCATCTCTTATGGGAGAGCAAGTCAGAAGCTGCTAGGGAGCTGTGACTCTAGGAGAGACTCTGTGTGTGTGTGTGTGTGTGTGTGTGTGTGTGTGTGTGTGTGTGTGTCTTTGTCTTTGATTTGTCTTTGTTTTGCTGCTCCTTCCTGGCCCTTTTCTTCCCTGGTGGGTTGTGCTGTGGTAGAAACAGCCCAGATTTAGGCTCAGGAGACCTGGCTTCTAGTCTCTTTTACTTATTAACTCTGTGACCCAGGCCAATCATTTCCCCTTCCATCTCCTCCTCTGTAAAACAAGTGGCCTGGATAAGAGCATCTCTAAGGCCCCTCCCAGGCACACATCCTATAACTTTTAGATTCATAACCCTTGCTAATACCTTACAGGATTGTTGTGAGAAAAGCACTTTGCAAACCTTAAAACACTATGTAATTGTGAATTATTATTATTATGGTGATAGTTGTTGTTCATAATCCTTCATATAGGCAGCATGGTATAGTGAAAAACAACCTGGATTTGGAATCAGAAAACCTGGGTTTGAATTCTGACTCTGCTATCTATTACCTTTGTAACCTTGAACTAGTCACTTTTCATTTCTGAACCCCCATTTCCTTATCTGTAAAGTGAGGTGGCTGCACTACATGAGCTCTAAGCTCCTTACACCTCTGAAATCTAAATATCCTTTCTTTATTTTATTTTATTTTTAATTTATGGAATAAAACAAACATTTCTATAGCATATTACAACAAAAAAGATGATTGTACATGAAATTCCAAATCTGCTATGCATAACTTGCTATTCCTTTCAAATATTCAACAAAATTATCATGCAAATTTCTTTTTTTTTTCTTCCCTCCCCTCAAAATTGTTGGGAAAACTAAAAATCAGTGTGGTAGAAACTGGGTATGGACCAATATCTCACACCATTTGCCAAGATAAGGTCAAAATGTATACGTGACCTAGATATAAAGAGAGATTTTACAAGAAAATTAGAACAACATGGACCATATTATTTATCAGACTTATGGATAGGAGAACAGTTTATGAACGGATGTAAATATCCTTTCAGATGGTGTTGGATTGTGATCTTAGAGTCAGAAGACCTGATGTGAATCTGTTCCCTGGTCTGCCCTGTCAGTTTCCTCAACGTGTAAGATGAAGTTTTGTATTAAATGAGAGAGGAAACAATAGTGCTGGACCAGGGATAGAATTCAGGGATTTCTACTTAGCTGTGTTACCTTCATAGATTTCCTTCTCCTCTCTGAGCTTTAGGTGCTTCATATATAAAATGAAGGGGTTTAGACTAAACTGTCTCAGAGGTCCCTTCCAACTCTTAATGATTGGGTGATCTGTAAGGTCATTTCCCTTTTTGATATTCTGAGAATGTTTGATTAAGAAGGCAGTTCCTTAGGAAAGGAAGAGGGCATCCTCCCGCCTCCACATATGTGTGTCTGTATGTATGTGTGCATGTGTATGTGCCCATGTGTATCTCCCAGGCATTCTATGTCCTTGGAGCTGCCAGCATGTAAACGTAAGCTACCTGTTTGGTTATCACACCATCCCTGTTCCTTTCCACACAGGTAACAACTTCCTCAGGAAGTAAGTGTTTTTCCTGCCGATCTGCAGCCGAGCGGGATAAATGGATGGAGAACCTTCGTCGAGCTGTGCATCCGAACAAGGTAAAATCAGGGATTGAGTGAGTGGCTTGGTCCCTGAATCTCCTCTTCCCCCTGGGACCACATTGCCATTTGTGGGAAACACCCTGCTTTGGTCAGATTTCAACCCTGGTGGCAGGCTATGTCATCTCTACCCAGGTGGGGAGATTGAAATTAGATCTGCAGAGGTACAGAAGTTTGGAGATGCCAAGGAAGAGAACACAAGAATGTGGCAGGAAGTGATTATCTCAGGAATGGGTTAAGGGAAGTTCTGTGTGGAGGTACAGGACTGAACAGGATGATAAAATGTGCTCTCCTGAGATATATGGTGGTCCATGATTGGACATATTACTGGGCATCCAGGTCCCTTTCCAGCTATGTCTCCTGGGATTGGGGGTACAATATCAAATTAACCACATTGATATTAAATATTCCCTGGCGTCTCATTCTAGTTTTGTTGTTGTTCACTCATTTGTCATGTCCGACTCTTCATGACTCCATTTTGGGTTTTCTTGGCAAAGATACTAGAGTGGCTTGCCATTTACTTCCCCAGCTCATTTTGCAGATGAGAAAACTGAGGCACACAAGATTAAGTGACTTGCCTAGGGTCACGCAGTTAGTAAGTGTCTGAGGCCAGATTTGAACTCAGAAGGGTGAGTCCCAGCACTATATCCACTGTGCCACCTATCTGCCTTATCTCATCCTAGACATCCCCACATTTATTGGGGAGAGAAATGTTTTTCAGCCATGGTTGAAATCTCCAAAGTGACTTTCAGAAACAATTGTACTTGCAGAGGTTTTAAAAACCTGCTAGGAAGTGTGGATGCTCTTTCTAAACATTCCCTTTCTCTACCAAGCCTCCATTCTCCCTAAAACTCTCTGATTTCCATTTCAGATTCTTTGCAATCTCTCACTCTTTCTCTCTCCCTCCTTTCCTCCCTGTCTCCCCCCCCTCACTCCCTACTGTTGAGGAGTAGGATGAAAAGTCCTACTCAATGGAGTCAGAAAAATCATAGAAAGTTGGAGTTAGAAGGGATTTTTAAAAAAGAAAATGGAAAACATTAGCATGTTAAAGCTGAAAGATATTTTAGAATGTGGAATGTGAAAACATAGAGCATAGAATGTTAGAACTGGATGGGACCTTAAGCATCATCTAAGCCAACTCTCTCATTGAGCAAGTGAGGACCCTGAGGCTCAGGAACATTAAATGAATTGACCAAGGTCTAGTTTGTGATATAAGGAAGGATTAAAACCTGAATCCCCTGATTCTCAGTCAGCTCTTCTTTATACCCTGACCTGCTACCTCCTTTTATACAACTCTGTTAAAATAATCTGCTTTACTGTTTTGGGTCCCCAAAAAGATGACTTCTTCTCTGTCTAATTTTCCACAAAACATTATTGTTGGCCATGTGTCTTCTTAAGTTAATTTGTTTCTCATTCAAGACATGAAGTTAAGGACAATCCAGAAAGTAAAAGGAAAGAGGTTTATAGAAGACCCACTAATCTACTGTTCTTTTGATACCAAATTCATAGTACATTTTGGCAATTTCAGTTTCAGACAGCCAAAGCAGATGAATTATCCTTTCTGTGGGCCTTAGTTTCTCAATCTGTAAAATGAAGAGGTTGGACAAGATGACCTCTAAGGTCAATTATAGGCCTAACATTCTTCGTTTTATGTTCTAATATTCTGTTTTCCATAGACTCAATTATAACATTTTGTGTTCTTTGTTCTCATTTCTAACATCTCTTCCAGCTCCAAAATTCTAAGCTCTCTGTTTTAACGTAATATGTTTTAAGGTTTTTTTTTTTTTCCCAGCTCTTACATTTTATGACTCAAATTAACTCTGGTTAGCTGGGCCATTTTAAAAAAAAGTACAGGAGGAGGACCACATTTGCCTATGGGTTGGTTGGAGTGTATAGTGGAGAGGAAAGAGAATCATTGCTCCCTGCCTAATCTCTCTATCCGTGTGCTTCCTAGGACAACAGTCGGAGGGTGGAGCACATGCTGAAGCTCTGGGTCATCGAAGCAAAGGACCTCCCAGCCAAGAAGAAGTATTTATGTGAACTGTGCCTGGATGATGTCCTTTATGCACGGACTACATGTAAGCTAAAGACAGACAATGTCTTCTGGGGGGAACACTTTGAGTTTAACAATCTGCCACCACTCAGGAATATCACAGTGCACTTGTACAAGGAGACTGACAAGAAGAAGAAAAAGGACAAGAACAACTACCTGGGGCTGGTGAACCTGGCCGTGGCCTCAGTGTCGGGGCGGCAGTTTGTGGAGAAATGGTACCCTGTAGTGACACCCAACCCTAAGGGCAAGAGTCCTGGCCCTATGATCCGTATCAAGTCCCGATACCAGACTGTCAGCATCCTCCCTATGGAGATGTATAAGGAATTTGCTGAGTATATCACCAACAACTATATGGCTCTGTGCTCCGCACTGGAACCTGTGCTGAGCGTCAAGAACAAGGAGGAGATGGCGTCAGCCCTGGTGCACATCCTACAGAGCACTGGGAAGGCAAAGGTACAAGCCAAACCCTGCATGTCCTTCATGGCCCCAGCTAGGTACATGTGTATAGCGCGCACACACACACACAGAGTCCTGTGGAAAGTACAGTCTGCTTTCTTACTTATGATGCTTGACTCGGGGACTGGAGTCCTAAAGGAGATGTGTAGACAAGCCAGTCATCACCCAGAGTTTACTTTCCCTCCCTCTCTCCAAGGAGAGAGTACAGTGACAGAATGTTAGAACATGCAACATAAAATGCTGAGCTGGAAGGACCTTAGAACATAGAATTTCAGCACTGGAAGAGACTTTAGAACATGGAGTGATAAAATATGGAGGACAGAATGAATGTAATATTAATAGCTAGCTCTTTATATTATATTTATACTTATTTATATCATATTATAAATATAATTATATATATTAATTTATATAACTATTATAAATATATTATTTCTAAATATATTTATATTATAGAGCTCTTAATATGTGCCAGGCACTGTGCTAAGCGCTTTCCAGTTATTATCTCATTTGAGCCCCACAACAGCCCTGGGAGGTAGGTGCTGTTATCACAATTTTACAGTTGAGGAAACTGAAGCAGAGTCCAGTGTCACAAAGCTAGTGAGTATCTGAGGCCAACCTTGAACTCAGGTCTTCCTGACTCCAGACCTAGTGCTCTGTCCACTGCAACACATAGTTGTAAAGGTTTTGAGGGACCCTAGAGACCATGCAATCCAGGGATTTTTAACTGGGGGTGTCTATTAATTTTTTAAATATATATATTTTAATATCTGCATTTCAATGTAATTGCTTCCCTTTGTAATCATATGTGTTTTATGCATTTAAAAAACATCATTCTAAGAAGGGGTCCATATGCTTCACCAAACTGCCAAAGTGGGCACCCCAACACAAAAAATGGTTAAGAACTCTTGATCTTGTCAAACTCCCTCATTTTATAGGTGAGAAAATGGGGTCTCCACAAGGTAAATGGGCATATCCAAGGTAACAGAGCTAGGAATAAAGCTCAGGTGTGACTCCTAATGCAATTTTCACTGTTCCAAAACTGCCTCCTGGTGAAATTCCTACCTGTTGGGGCCTTCTTTGTCCATAGTACTAGGGGTGAAACTGAAGCTTAAGAGAAGTAACTCTGACGTCAGACCCAATATCCAGGTTGAATGTGCACACAGCAGGTGTGGGGCTGAATATTACTTCTAGGTTCTTGCCTCTGTGGAAGGACCATGATTGCTGTAGGATTTGCAGTCCCAGTCTAACATGTGAAGGGACAGGGATGATGATGATGTAGGGACTTTTTCCTCCCTGAAACTAGATGCCTACGTTGGAAGTTAGGCACTTTAGCTTTCTTACTCTTACAGACTAGCAACACTAAAAGGGATTTCAGAGATTGCTTTATCCAGCCCCTCTATTTTACCAAAGGGTAAAAACTGAGAAACTGAGGCCCATTAAAGGGAACTGTCCTGCCCTGGGTTACACAGTGAGTTAATGGCAAAATGCAATCTCTTTACTCCAAGGGCAGGGCTCTTTCTACTAAGACAAGCTGCCTCTCCTCTCCTTTGAGTATACCCAGATCAAAGCCCCTGTCAGAGTCCCAATTAACTGAACTCTTCATCTAAGAAAGTTAGTCAGCACTTGGGGAGGAGGATAATTTGTTGGGCAAGTAGGAAACTGTCTCTCCCCTGCTGGCTCTGTGGAACCTGCTGGTACCTGCTCATTACCAAAGATTAATGCCATCAGAAATGGTTGGTATTCAAGATGGGAGAGGAGGGGCTACTGCCCCTAGTTCTGATCTGGTTAGACCTTGCTTCTGGAAGCTGGGTCAGCAGCCAGTATCCTGGGCCTCAGACCTCTAACATTAGCTCTTCCTGCTCTGGAGAGGGTCAAAAAGGAAGTCCCTTGCCCACACTTAAGGACATCCTCCATACGACCTTAGCATGAGAAGCAGAGCTGCCCACGAAACACTGGAGAGTCGGTGTGATATAGTAAAAAGAGCAATAGGATTGGGGTCAAAAGACCTAGATTTGAATACTGCCGTGTATTAGCAACCTTGGACAAGTGGCTTCTCTGTTTGGGCCTCACATCATAAAATGAGGGGAGTTGAACCAGTTGGCCTCCTATGTCTCCTTCTAGCTTTAATATTCTGTGCATCTATAACATGGATTTTGTGACTCTTTCTACTATTCTTTCTACTCTTCTGACATGTCTCCCTCATATCTGACACGTTCTCTTGACTTTTATCATGCTCACACTCACCCTACTTCTGGTCTATGCCTCTGTAAAGAAGGAGGTTTCTTTCTCCTCCTCCTCCTTCCTGGGGGCCAAACCCCAAACCAAGTCAGTCTATGCCATCCTTAGATTGGACACTGGGAAAAGTACCTGTGTTTGACTGGGTTACCTCACCTTGTGGCCTAAGGAGGGTGATTTTTCAACCAGTACCTTAGTCATCCATTCTCTAAAATGGATGATACTTGATCTTCATTTGTAGGGGATATCTTGTGAGTCATGTGAACCAGAGATGGCAGCTGCCTTCAGACCTTAAGAAAGGGACAAACCTCAGCTCATATTTAGAGAAGCCAGATTTTTTTCCCCTTAGGCCTGAGGTTCACTTGAAGGGAAACTTGGTACCAAGTGCCAAGAAAAAAAAAATAGACAGTCAAAGAAATAGCCCTATCACACCAGGCTTTGGGTAGAAGATAAGATCTATGGCTAAGCCTGTTCACTGCACTGATAAATACATGAGGGACTCAGCCTCTCAGTCTCGCTGAATCTATCAATGCAACCGTCCCTGGAGGAGTACCTGCCTCTCTCATATTTAAATATAATTAGATTGTTGATCATAAGATTTAGAGCAGGGAAAGGACCTTAAGAATGATCTCTTCTAACCTCCTCGTTTTACAGATGATGAACAAGGTTAAGTACTTGTCCGAAATCATAAGAGTAACAAGTAACTGAGCCAGGATTTGATCCCAGGCCCTGTGATCCCACATCATATTAGCACCTTTGTGGGAAATGTAAGGTAAATGTATCCCCTATCTTTCACTTTCTAAATCTCAGTTTCCTTCCCTTTCACACAAAGGAATTGGGCTGGGTGATATCTAAGGTCCCTTTTGGTGCTAACGTTTTTGAGTTTATGTTCTCCATCTTTAAGCCTTGATTTAAGCCTGGCTCCCAGGCTATTGCAACCCTACCTTTCAAGGCCAAGAATAATGGCTGGAATCCAGATAACTAAATCTTGGTTTAGTTTTCTTAGTACCTTCGTCACTCTCTCCCCTTTCCCCCATTCTTGTTCCCTCCTCCCACCAAAAAAAAAAGCCTCATTTCCCTTTCAAAACCACAATAGCACATTGA